AATCCCTTTGGTCTACACATTCTGGCCACAGTTTTTTCCAAGCAGAGTTCAAGGTCCTCTAGTCACTCCCTCCCAAGCCTTACCTATAAGGTTTACACAACTGAGGATATTAAAGTGATCTCTCCAAAACTCTCTTAGAGTCAGTTGAGTTTCTGAGATCACTACAAAGCACCTTTCAAACAGAGCTTTTGTGTACAGTTTTTTGAAGTTTGCAATAACCTGCTGGTCCATGGGCTGCAGGAGAGGAGTGGTATTAGGAGGCAAAAACTTGACCTTAATGAAGCTCATGTCCCCACAAAGTCGCTCTGCCAAGTCTGTAGGATGACAGGGGCATTGTCTAACACTTAAGATCTAATTTCTTTTCAATTAGGTAATTTTTCACAGTGGGGGCAAATGCATGGTGTAACCAGTCATAGAAAAAGTCCCTAGTGACCCATACCTTACTGTTTGCCCTCAACAGCACACACAAATTAGCCTTGAGGATATTCTTTTGCCTGAACGCTCTGGGAGTTTCAGAGTGATACACCAATAAAGGCTTCACTTTGCAATTACCACTAGCATTGACACACATTAACAGAGTAAGCCTGTCTTTCATAGGCTTATGTCCTGGGAGTGCCTTTTCCTCATGAGTAATGTAGGTCCTGCTTGGCATTTTCTTCCAAAACAGGCCTGTTTTGTCACAATTAAACACTTGTTCAGGTTTCAGTCCTTCACTGTCTATGTACTCCTTAAATTCATGCACATATTTTTCAGCTGCTTTGTGGTCCGAACTGGCAGCCTCACCGTGCCTTATCACACTATGTATGCCACTACGCTTCTTAAATCTCTCAAACCAACCTTTGCTGGCCTTAAATTCACTCACATCATCACTAGTTGCAGGCATTTTTCTAATTAAATCCTCATGCAACTTCCTAGCCTTTTCACTTATGATCGCTTGAGAGATGCTATCTCCTGCTATCTGTTTTTTGTTTATCCACACCAATAACAGTCTCTCAACATCTTCTATCACTTGCGATCTCTGTTTCGAAAACAAAGTTGCACCTTGACAAGAACAGCTTCCTTGATTGCCGTTTTCTTGGCCACAATAGTAGCGATGGTTGATTGGGGTTTACTATACAACCTGGCCAGCTCGGAGATAGGCACTCCACTTTCATACTTAGCAGTGATCTCTTTCTTCATATCCATAGTAATTCTCACCCTTATTCCTGTAGGGTTGGCACTAGAAGCTTTCTTGGGGCCATGGTCACTTATTTTGCAGGTTTGAAATTACTAAAAACGCTGTAATAATACGAAATGTTCCGATTGTATGCTTGTGTTTGGACTGCGGAGGCTGGCTTGTAAACAATGCCACCGGCGGAACAAGTGAGGCTGGCTCAGGTTTGCACATGGACGTGTCTCGGACGAATTGCGTTGAGCGAGTTTTTTAGCGCTAGGGGAGGCAAAATTTTTGCATTAAAATGGTATCGCTAGGCGGATTTAACGTTATGTGATGCCAACGTTAGGTGAGGGTCCACTGTGTGTGTGTGGTGTGTATATATAAAATATATATATATATATATATAATATATATATATATATATATTGTTGAGATTTTGGCCTTACCTGCCGTGTTTATTATATATATATATAATGAACACTTAGCTGATAAATGACAGCAAACTCTTACACAGCCGCCCCTGCAGACGAGGTCTAGAAGCTTCGAAACCATCACAACAGTGGGCTGTCAAGAGATACAATTTGTAAGTATAAATTACCCCTAGGGGTTGTTATGTCAGCATATTTCATTCGATGAGGGCTGATGAATACTTACTTTTTTGGGACTCAAAAGTCCACACCTTACTCCCGATTATGGGTTGATTACAAACTCCTTGTGACTCAAGAATTGCGCAATCCCGATCTACAAGAAATTCGTAACTTTACCTTGCTCTTTGTAACGTGAGCTAGGGTGTTCTCAACACCTTCGACAGATATGGGTTTGCCCTTGATAGAAGCTAAAGTGTCCTTGGATGTCCACGTCTTCCATTGTCTAGGAAACGCACACTGGTACACTATGTTCCAAAAGATTCGTCTTTATTGTTCACATGTATCACAAGAGAAGCTGATCACACTTCTCAAGTGTTTGTGTTAGAGACACTTTGTTCACACTAACGCACAGATCAGTGTTCTTTGCTGGTTATCCTGGCGTCAGTGTGACTCTCTCCAGAGTCAAAAGTAATCTGGCCAGACGCACAGCGCTCCATGACGTCTCTGCCCCCAGCAAAAAAAAACGCTGACCTAGTACCTTGCATCCTTGTCACCTCCTCGATGAAGCAAAGCAGAATGTTTGTTTCTTGCTGTCTTAATCATAAACAACAATGTACACTATCTTTACTATGGTAATAAAGTGGGAGTAGGTTTTTCCCTTAAATTTGTCCTGCTAAGTAAGAGATGCACTGTCTCTTATAAAAATACACTTTGAAACCTGGACTGCAAGGAGCAGAGGTCATTTGACCACGCATACGGCATCTGTGATCAATTACTCACTCTAGCAGTAAACAAGACGTCGCCCCTTCTAGTGGCCCTCAGGGCTGAAAGGGCCTAAAGGGGGGCCCTGAAGGGGGCTGATACCCCCCTCCTGGAGAAAATTTCTCCACATATATATATTATATATTTATATATATATATATATATATATATATATATATTTTTTTTTTTTTTTTTTTTATTATCACACTGGCCGATTCCGACCAAGGCAGGGTGGCCCGAAAAAGAAAAACTTTCACCATCATTCACTCCATCACTGTCTTGCCAGAAGGGTGCTTTACACTACAGTTTTTAAACTGCAACATTAACACCCCCCCTTCGGGAGTACAGGCACTGTACTTCCCATCTCCAGGACTCAAGTCCAGCCTGCCGGTTTCCCTGAACCCCTTCATAAATGTGACTTTGCTCACACTCCAACAGCACGTCAAGTATTAAAAACCATTCGTCTCCATTCACTCCTATCAAACACGCTCACGCACGCCTGCTGGAAGTCCAAGCCTCTCGCACACAAAACCTCCTTTACCCCCTCCCTCCAACCTTTCCTAGGCCGACCCCTACCCCACCTTCCTTCCACTACAGACTGATACACTCTTGAAGTCATTCTGTTTCGCTCCATTCTCTCTACATGTCCGAACCACCTCAAATATATATATATAATATATATATATATACATACATACATACATATACATATATAGTTTTTAATACTTGACTTGCTGTTGGAGTGTGAGCAAAGTAACATTTATGAAGGGGTTCAGGGAAACCGGCAGGCCGGACTTGTGTCCTGGAGATGGGAAGTACAGTGCCTGCACTCTGAAGGAGGGGTGTTAATGTTGCAGTTTAAAAACTGTAGTGTAAACCCACCCTTCTGGCAAGACAGTGATGGAGTAAATGATGGTGAAAGTTTTTCTTTTTTGGGCCACCCTGCCTTGGTGGGAATCGGCGAGTGTGATAATAAAAATAATAATAAAAAAAAAATAATGTGTGCATGTATGAGCATGTGTGTGTATGAGAGTGAGTTAGTGAGTTTGTAATCAATTTGTGTTTGCAGGGTTGAGACTTGGCTCCTGGTTTTTGTGTGTATGTGTGCATGCTTCCTTTTGTAATTGCTTACATGTTTTGTAATTGCTTACATGCTTTTGTGTGCTTTAAGAGTGTATGCACAAGTGTGCATTTACATGCTTATTTCTAACACCAGTTTTGTTTTTTGGGCCCTTAAACACAGATTATATAATATAGGGTAATAAAAACAATCAGTCTCAGTGTTGTGTCAAAATCTTGAAGTATTTACTTCAAACATTTAAAGAAATTGCTTCAGTCTTCGTGGAGACAGAATATTTGAGGGATTTTATTTCTTTAACATTTATTATACAAATTTATTTTAATGAGGGAAAATAAAACAAAAATTCACGTATGGGCTAAAGAACCCAGATATTTTAGAAAGGAGTTCATATAGAAAATATAAAATCAGTATTGTAAGTGCCTTTCGCATAAAGATTATGAAGTGACTATGAAAGTTAATCCTAAGACAATAAATTTGACATACCCAGCTACTTCATGCAGCAAAATTATAATTTCCATTTTTTCAAAAATCCCGTTTGAGGTAGGGGGACATTTGTCAAAAAAAAAAAAAATAGTTAAATAATGTAGAAAAAAATATGTTGAAGGATTTTGGTCTTGATGGGAAATTTGTTATCTTATACAACTTTCCAGATACAGCATAACAACTTCAGGAAGAAGCAGGGGCATCACACTCTAGGAAATCCTCCAAAAGAAGTAGCTCAGCCACTCCTGAGTTGTACAGACACATTTCTTGCAACCTGCTTCCACTTGGATATATCAAGTAGTTTTTCTCATGTGTTGGTTACACACTGTCTGGCCTTGGTGTAGTTCGAGCATAATTAACAAGCATTCAGATATTTCAAAAAAATTTATGAAAGTAAAAGAAATACATAAAAATCTATATGATAAGGAAATCATTGTATAGAAGACAAAAGTTTCAGTGTTTTTGCAAAAATAAATAAGGAAAAGCTATATTTGAATTGACGAGTTTTAAGTGGCTTTTTTTTCTGATACTCTTAGGGTAAAACACGATGTTTCATGATATGGCACACAGGTATTCATTGTGTTTAAAAAAGTACAGTAAACCCTCGATATAACGGACTAATAGGGGGGTCCATTACATCAAAATGTTAAAAAATAGTAAAAAAGTGCAATAAGGTACTCCATTGTATACCTAATATAGTAGTGTTCACACAGTTTACAGATATATGCTATAAACATTGAAAATAAACAAGTTAAAATTACAATTTAAAATAGTAGATTTTACCCAATTTTTACAAAATCCGTTTTACCAAGGTCCGTTATATCGAGGGTTTAATGTAAAATATATGAAACCTGAGTCGAGAAATTATTTAAGTTTGTCACAAGATATTTTAAAAATAAGTTAAATTTTACTTCTTATTTGGGGGAGTGTCACTATCATTGTTCTCTGTAAAGAATTTTAAAATAAACCAGCCCTGGTGAAACATACAAGAGTTTATGCAGGAATATGACCTCGCTGCTACGGTTCCAGAGGCATTTCTCGCCCAGTGATTCGTTTATTGCTGCAGGAAAGAAACCCTATCAGTGTTCATTGTGTAAGACCATTCTTTCCAATAAAACAGATTTGGTACAACATTTACAAATTCATAAAGGAAAGCAACCATATCAGTGTTCAGATTGTCTGAAAGAGTTTTCAGATAAACTAAAGCTAGAAGAGCATTTATTACTTCATGAAGAAAGGAAACCAGATGAGTCTTCAGTGTGCCTAAAAACCTATAAAAATAAATCGGCTATAGAAAAGCACGCAGATGTCCAAACAGATAAGAAGCAATATTTATGTTCCGTGTGCTTAAAGGACTTCTCACACAAATCAGATCTAGTTAAACATACAAGAATTCATACTGGAGAGAAACCCTATCAGTGTTCAGAATGTCTAAAAGTCTTTTCACAAAATTCACATCTAATACAGCATATGAGAGTTCACACAGGAGAGAAACCTCATCATTGTTCAATGTGTCTAAAAGACTTTTCACATAAATCAGCTCTCATAAAACATATAAGAGTTCATACTGGAGAGAAACCATATCAGTGTCCAGAATGTCAAAAAGGCTTTTCACAAAATTCCCATCTAGTACAGCATCTAAGAGTCCATACAAGAGAGAAACCCTATCATTGCCCGGAATGTCTAAGAGAATTTTCACACAAATCAGCTCTAGTAAAGCATATGAGAGTTCATACAGGAGAGAAACCATATCAGTGTTCAGAGTGTCAAAGAGACTTCTCAGATAAATCAGTTTTAGTAAAACATATGAGAGTTCATACTGGAGAGAAACCATATCAGTGCTCGGTGTGCTATAAAACCTTTTCTCATAAGTCGGCTTTAGAACAACATAAGAGAGTTCATACAGGGGAGAAACCTTTCCAGTGTTCTGAGTGTCTAAAGGAATTTTCACAAAATTCAAATTTACTAAAACATATGAGACTTCATTCAGAAGAGAAATAAAAATTGAGAGCAGAGCAGTATTTATAAGTCAATCATATTTAGGTCTGGAATCCCTACCATATTCTGTGTAACAGAACGATGAATCTCTCTCATTTGGCTGAATATTTGTAAAAATGCTGGATTTTTACACAGAGTTGACAGGTGTCTGGATATACTCTAGAAATTAGCTAGGATTGAAATATGAACCGACAGTTTTCTCAGCGAGGAACTATCGGTTCCCATTAAACTGTTAAAACTACTTACTCAACCATACTCCTTTGAGAGAAATAACATATATGTTTGAAAGTTCATTCAGGAGAGAACCATATCATTGTATGGAGAATCTGAGAAATTTTTGGGGTGCATACATAATCTGGTGAAATATATCAGTCACTGGAATGTATATTTATAATTATAGACTGTAGTTAATCAACAAATGATGAAGATAATGCCTTTCTTGATCCTCCTTTCATCTAGATGTATGTTGGGAACTTGTAGAAGTTCTGAACTCTTTATATTTTAGTAGTACATCACAACTTGAGCCTGGAACTGCAAAATAGCTGTAGAAGATCACATCTAAATTATACCTTTAAATACATGGCTATAATTTTATCAAATACATTAGCAGAGCTAATGGGTATCGAGTTTCAAATGCATAAGATAAGTCTCCATGTGTTTGATATTGAAAGTCTTTCACACACTGCATTCTTGTAGATTTCATCCATAGTCACTTCTTACTTTGGTCAGCCATAAAAGTCACCAAATGTTGCTGTTTGTGTTTACTTATGTTTTTAGCATATGTACACCAAGAGTGCTTTCATCATTTTCGTAGGAATTAAAATATTCTTGAGTGGTGGTGTACAGTTGAGGTGCAGCCTTACTGGCCCTCATTTATTTATTTGATAGGCTTTAAACCTAACAAACTGTTAAATTTAGTTAAATCTTTCATCTGTTCATGATGATAAATGCCTTTGCTTTATAACAATTCAAGCTGTGTTCCTTAGTAGTATATTAGTAACTTCTTTGTAACCCCATTTTTTATACTGAATGCAAATACAGTTGAATCTCTGTATCCTGACCCTGTTAAGCCAGAAATTCATGGTGGTGAATTGATAATTTCTAAATGTTAATAAAAGTTTTCTCTTACAGTTAAACCTGTAAGACCTGCCTAGCATGGGCCATAGGCCTACTGCAGTGTTACTTTCTTATGTTCTTGTGTAAGAAAAGTGTAAAAAATACTTTTCCCGTGAGATGAACGTTGACCTGGACTATTAAATATGGTCTGGTATCACCAACAGTCGTGTGATGAGAGAGGGGTGCAGCATCTGCAGTGTATATCTTGGTGTTCATCCAGAGCAGTCATGAGAGACATTATATAATATACCCTCAGCTAGGCTGTATACTTGATAATTAATTTTTATCATTTTTTTTGTGGTGGTATGGTAACTAATTGAGGCTGCAGTATCATCAGCAGCCTAAATGGTGTCAAGCAAGATATCCATTGTATTGCTACATAACAACAATTAAGCCTTAAAAGTTATAGGCCAATAACTACAGTTGCCTCCACTGCTTGCAAGCCTTAAAAAATTGTAATGGCCATTAAATAATTCTGACTATGATGCTGTGGCAAACTAAGGATAAGGTTTATCATAACAGCAATGATGGCAGTGCACACATTATTAAAACCATGTTTTAAGGCCCAGTTTTGCAATGAATTACAAATTTTCACAAATTATTTAAATTAATACATCACTTGTTTCAAAACAATTGGAGAGGAAATACTGTGCCAATTAAAGCTTGGACTGACAACAATACTTTTTCATACCTTGTAGTGTACAGTACAGTGAACCCTTCATAAAATGGACTAATGAGGGGAAGGGGATGTCTCCTTTAACAAAAACCCATTATATTGAAGGTTTCCACTTAATTGCTTGGCTATCAGATACAAGCAAATGCCCAATAAAACAGACTTTGTCTGCTGGAATAAACTAGTGTACAGTACAGTATTACACCACAGTACTGTACAATACAGCTGTACCTGAAAAAATTAACTAAAAGTACAGTACAATAATTTTTGTTACCTTTTCTTGTGGATAGATGAGCTTACAGGTGTACAATTTCCCATGTGGTCTAATGGTGACCCAGAATAATTTAATCTGATTCAGAGGAGCTGTAAAGCTCTAGCAGTATCAATCCTTTAAAGACCATGGCGGTGCTGATTTACCAGTGACTACGAGCTTCAAACAATGCATACCCTTAGCATTACTACGGCATAATACTGAGAAGTGGTTTTACTGAATGGCCTTTGCTGAGCCTATGGCCTGGTGGCTTTTCCTCATGCTGATAGACTAGAGTGTGAGAAAGTAATATTGCCAACCAGACCAGTTTCATTAGCATTATAGAGTCGAGATAGAAGGATGTCTTAATCATTAGCATTATAGTCAAGATAGAAGGATGTCTTAACTCTACTTCAAATCATTTAGTAATACAGCCTCTCCTCACTTAGCAACGTATTCGTTTACCAATGACTCGGACTTAAAATGGGCTCTCTGACCAGTATGTATACCTAAATAATGTATATTAGAGCTGATCTCCTCTACTCTGTTTATTATGATATACAGTACACTACTGTATATTGTAAGGAGGGGTGTTAATGTTGCAGTTTTATAACTGTAGTGTAAAGCACCCCTCTGGCAAAACAGTGATGGAGTGAATGATGATGAAAGTTTTTATTTTTTGGGCCAACCTGCATTTGTGGGAATCAGCCGATGTGTTAATAAAAATATACTGTATAAACATTTAAAATGTACTAAAAATGTTATGAATGGTGCAACGGTGACATTAAAACAATATCAAAGATGGTTGACACAAACCCACTACCTTTATACTATGCTCCTTGCTTAGCAACGAATTCGTTTACCAACGTGGTCTTAAGAATGGAACTCCATTGTTAAGTGAGGAGAGACTGTAATTATAATTCTTCAGTATTTGTGCTTGGTTGTTACAAATAAGAAATAGCAGTGAGAATGAGTATGAAGGTAACAAAGATGTAGTGTGTTATAATATGATGTAGTGATGAACAACACTATATGGAGTACGAACTGTTATCAAATATTCCTGTGTCTTCTACAGTGATATATATAAACTATTTATGTTTCTTGGTAACTGAGGATATATGCTAAAGTTAGAAGGCAAGAAATTTGCCAGGTACAATATTGAGTATTATTATTCATTCCTCTGTTTTGTCCCTCACTTGGGCTCTGGTTTCTCCTAACTCATAAAAAAGAAATTTACAAGCATCTTTGTTATACCTGACACCTTTTTCCTTGGTCTACAATTAAGACAGTGACAGTACTGCTGCTTCAGATCCTGTACGTGATGCTTATTGACCTTATTATATTCATAAGAAGTCTCCACAATGGGTTCTGTTACCTCTACATGAGGTGTATGGCCCATGCACCTGGTCATAATTGTTTACCCTTCAGACCATTAAAGCTTCAGGTGTGCTGTGCGATTATTGTGCTAGCCAAGTGATCTTGACAGCAACTGGCCCAAGTGTCACTTGCTATTTTTGGCATGATGGGACACATGTAGTGCAAATTAATGATGCTATTTGAGCAGAAAACTCTAGAAAATTGCAAATTGTAGATGATGAGCCTGCTATTGCTTTCAGACATGCTGACCTTAATACTTGCTGTTGAGGTCATTCTTCTGCCTTTCATTTGTTTATTTACTAATTCCACAGGTATTATTTTCAAGAACAACTGCAACAGCTACCCATCTTCAAAGAAGACACTACACCTGCAACAGTTACCCATCTTCAAAGAAGACATTGTAACTGCAACAGCTACCCATCTTCAAAGAAGACACTGCAACTGCAGCAGCCACCCAGCTTCAAAGGAGACACTGCAACTGCAACAGCTACCCATCTTCAAAGAAGACACTCAACTGCAACAGCTACCCATTTTCAAAGAAGACACTACAACCTCAATAGCTACCCATCTTTAAAGAAGACACTTTTATCCATCCTACATGAGTACAATGTCTACAAATGTTCCCTTCGCTTTATGTGGATTCACTATGTGTAATATCACTCATAGGTGGCAGCCTTATTGCTACCAGGAACTCGCTTCATGCCATAAAAATTCACTCATGCGATTGGAGACAATGGTCTCTGTGTGTTTTCACTTGATGCAATCACTCATTACAGTACCATTTCATATTTAACCAATATTACATTAAATATCACTTAACTAATGTATTGTGTTGTATCATGTCATTTGCCTCACCCACTAAACATGTCCAGGAGACATGAACCAGTGTCCTCCTCTGTTCTTACTAACACTGGGGGAGACAGTGAGATAAGGTGGCATTGAGGGAGGGAGGCAGTGAGTGGAGGAGGAGGCAGTGAGTGGAGGAGGAGGCAGTGAGTGGAGGAAGAAGTGAGTGAAGAAAGCAGTGAGTGAAGGAAGCAAGTGTATGAGGAGAGGCAGTGAGTGACACTGCTACCAGTCCAGGACAGACCACCCTCCTGGGGTATCAGCCAAACTCCCCTTTCCTTGTTCTTCCCCTCAGCTGGAGCAGGGGCCTCCTACCATGGCTCCCAGGCTACCCACCCACCACTACACCTCACCAACACCCCTCCTCTCCTACACCAACAATTCATTCAATTCAAAGTTTATTCTCTATAAGGATTACAATGCTGAGTTTACAGAAATTTGGTTATTGTTTGGTTTACATGTAGTAAAATTGTGATTACAGAGTGTACCTCTAGAAGCTTAAGGGGCAT